AAACCGGTGCCATTTGCAACCCAAGTGGTACCAATTGAAGCTCATGTGGCACCACTTGAAACCCAAGTGGTACCACTTGAGGCCCAAACGGTACCACTTGAAGCCCAAGCGGTACCACTTGGCTTGCAAGTGGCACCACTTGATTTGCAAGTAGTACCACTTTACTTGCAAGTGGTACCACTTGAAAGGAAGTGGTACCACTTGAAATACACCTTCCTATTTTCGCCTGTAATTTCCTCGTTGATTCAAAGAATAATGTCCTTGAAATCGTAAAAAATATGCGGGTATTGCAGTCAACTAAGTCGTTATTTTGTAGGTGGCGCACTTTCGCCTTGCTCGAGAAAACCCGGCTTGAAAGTAGAAGGATATTAGTTCCATGGTCCGTGAACTGCAGGTTTTGCTATAAACCAGAAACTATAGAACGGTGCTTTATTGACTGTAATGATGCATTCCTTTTCTGAGACGGGCTGCAACTCACGCTAAAAAATACCTCCACATCACTGACCAAAATATTCACTTCCTTCTATTTGTAAAATATCAGACTGTTCCATTAAAGAAATTATAGCAAAGATGCAGGCGAGCTGGTGACGAATCATAGTACAAAAACCCAAAGACAAGGAGCTAAAAAGACAAAAAACACCGTCTCAGAACCAGCACAGCAATGATTTATTTTAACACAGTCTTCCTTCTCATCACATCCCTTGGTCATCAGCAGGCGCCACATTTGAAGGTATCAAGCAAAAAGCCACGTTCACGACTGCAGTCTTAAGCATCCGGTGAATACATCACCACTAGACCAACAAAAACGGCCGTGTCTCATCGTCCAAAACAAGCCATTAGGTACCAAACAACAGTTTGGTCCGTTTCGTGATAAGCAAAAATAAATTAGAAAAGAAAAAAGAAAGTTAGAAGAAATCAACACTCTGGACAAAAAACGCGTGCACGACTGCAGTCTTAAGCGATCGGTGAATACATCAACAATACACCAACGAAAACGGCGGTGTCTCATCATTCAAAACAAATCGTTAGCTGCAAAACAACGGTTTGGTAGGATTTCGTGATAACCAAAAATAAAGAAGAGAATATTCACTTCTTTATTTTCCAGTCGCTATTCCTTACTCTAATTTCTTTGTCCAGTAGGATAATTTCTTATAATATTATTAGAAATCATCCCGCTGGACAGAGAAAATAGACTGGAGAGACAAGAACGTCTGTGTCTTTCCATCCAAAGTCAAAGAGAGCCTACTAATACAGTTTCCGGCGCTGTTAATCCTAAGTGTTTCCCTTATAACCCTCTTAGGTTGATCTTTTTCTTTGCTAACCACAGTCGTCTCAGCCCAGTCTGCGTAACAATTATTGCACTCACTAAGATGGTTTACAATTTCAGAATTGACCGAAGAGGAGTTAACCGCTTTTTTGTGTTCTAGAAGCCGGTCGTTAAGGCAACGGCCAGTTTGACCTACATACGAAAACCCACATGCCAAAGTAATTTCATACACTACTGCCATCTCACAATTACTTACCGGATCTTTTTGATTTTTTTTGGCAACCATGCTTGTCCCCCGAAAAAGGAGTGAAATTAACTTCAAATAATTTTTGATAACAACGTTTACACCATAGCTCTCTGCCAAGGCCTTGAGCTTGTGAGAAAAGAGGTGGCAAAATGGCAAGCACACACACTTCTTTTTTTGCGGAAAACCGGTATGGAACCGAAGTTAAAGAGAATGTTCCTCGACACACACAACAAGAGAGACGAGCTATGCTATAACCTGAAGCAACCAGTATTGAAATTTGAAAAGTAACACTCTCATGAACATAATGAAAACAAGACTTGCCCAAAGCATTTTTACGACAGAGGATACTACTGCTCTTTTTACTGCTTTCGGGTGGCAACTTCGAAATGGCAGGACCTGTTTCTTGGCATCTTTGCCATAGCTGCAGCACAATCCTTGGGATCGAAAATTTTTAAATATATAAGCTAAATACCTAAAAGTGCCAATTTAAATGGTGAAGATGAGTTTCGGAGGTTGATCCTTTATAAAGTAAATCCAACCGAACACACCCGGTCCCTCAAACACGCGGATGAAAAAATCGTCAACATACCACTTGATCACTACACTATTTGGCACCACTAACTGAACTTTTGAAACCATCACCTGTTCTAAGACAACTAAACTTTCAGAAAGCAGCGGCGCCAAGGAGGACCAGCAAACAAATGAAGCATCCAACATCAATGCCAGAAGCAGCTTGGAAACTAACCAGGTTATCATCTAACAACTGACGCACCCGAATGAGGAGTGCGGACCTGTCCGAAACATAATAAAGAACTTTAATATCTTTATATAATAAAGTATATTGTGCAAGTAGCATGAACTGGGGATTGGTTCATGCTACATGGACTGCACACTTTGTGGAAATGCAGAATGATCGATAGGAATGCTGGACCGACCAGCACAACAAAATCCATCTATGCAGAGCAAATGGCTCAACTTCGCAACGTGTACGCAACCAAACCTGTACAACCAACTGGTTTGTATTGTCAGACATATGCGTAGGCCTGCCTGGGTTTTGAGTTTTACAGCGAAGCTGTTTATGGCTAGGGTTCCGTGGATTTTTCGTGTGGAGTCCCTATTGAAAAATACCAATATGAACAGCGTATTATGGATATTGGTAAACAATACATTTTTATTGTATTATAATAAGATATGCACAGTGTATTGGAAAACATTACATTTATTTATCGTATTACAGTAAGGGTTTGTTAAGGGATTCCAATATGTATTACAATAAGGGGTTCCAATATCCATAATACGCTAAAAACATTGGTATCCCATACTGTATAAACCCTTATTGGATCCCCATGTGTCGTATGAGGATCCAAAAGCGCTTATGATTCTAGTGTATTTACCGTATTATGGATATTGGAATCCAATATATAATATCGGCTACAAATAAAACTATATACGAGTTGGAATATAACGTTTAGCACGACATTTCTTTGCAACGCAAAGTCTTCTTGTGTCTATTTCTGATTAATGAAAAAATGTCGCTGTTGTCAAATTGTTAATAAAGAAGCAAAACACTAGGCTTATCCATACTTATTATATTTAACATATTCCTAAACTACAGGATCCGGCATTTACTGGAAAAAAATTAAATTGTTTAGAACCCTCATTAAAAAACATAACGTTTGAAAACGGAATGTGAAGTCCTCACCTTTTAATGAAAAGAGCACCTGCTAGCTGCAGCCAGATAGAAACGGCAAGATAAAAATGTGTGATTAGTTCGCGACAAGTAGCAATTCCTCACTAAGCCGGATAGATTCAAAATTATGTCCGCGTTTATTGCGGGAAAATAAGCTTCAATGCAACTGCCCCGAGTCATTTTGAGCTCGATCCAATAAATATACGTATCCCCTCGTGTGGCTTCAGTATTCTTGCTTCGAAACTAGAGTGTCTGGAATGCTCACCTTTGAAGAAAAATGAACTGGTGCCTGCTGGCTTGTAGGCCATGGAAACTGGTAGAGAGATTTGCGATTAGTCGCGTCCAATTAGCAATTGCTTTAAATAGCCACGGGAAGTACACTAAGTCGGAAAGATTCAAAATTACATGCTCGGGACAGAGGTATTCTCTTGCGACGTAACTGGGCACACGTAAATGTCGCCCGCGTGTATTACAGAAAAATAAGCTTCCATGCTGGATCCCCCGCTGTTCTGAGCTCCGTCAATTAAAAATGCTGTACCGGTCGTCTGGCTTCAGTATTCCTGCTTCGGACCAAACTAGAGAATCTGGTATACTGACCTTCGAAGAAGAACAAACTGGCAACTGCTGCATTGTGGGCCATGGAAACTGCAAGAAAGATTGGCGATTATTTGCGTCCAGGTAGCAATTTCTTTGAGTAGCCACCTACATACAGTACACTAAGCCGGATAAATTCAAAATTACAAGCGCGTGACATAATATGCCTCTTGCAACAAAACTGGGCACACGTTGACAAATGTGTTGTCCACGTGCATTGCCGCAAACAAGATTCAATGATAGCGTCCCCAGTCGTTCTAAACTTCGTCAATTAAATATGCCGGACCGCTTGCCTGCCTTAAGTGTTGCTGCTTAGAGCAAACTAGAAAACCAGGGGCCGCTTGCTAGAAAGTTTTGACTCAAGTCTTGGCTCAAGTCTTGACTCAGGCGCCTGGCGGTCTCGCCTGAGACCGTGACTGAGACCAAGACGGATCCAGCACGGTCTCCGGCGCGGTCTTGACTCAAGTCCGGACTTGAGTCTGGCACCCAGACCGCCAAGAACGGAGTGAGATGTACCTAGAGAGGGAATCTAGGGAAAACTGAAGAAATACCGGAAGGAACAGTGGGTGCGTTCCAAATCTACTCGGATGGATCCGAGTTACCCTGGCAGATCATGTCACGTGACAACAAAAATCGAGTAATGCCGGACGCGGGTAGGTCTTTGATCGCAAAGGTACAAAACCTTTACCCTAGAGTGAGACCGAGTAAATTTTGGAACACGGCCGAAGATTCCGGACGTGGAAGTGACGAGTTGTGACCTCCTGTCCAATAAGAAAGCGCCGGCGACGCGAGGCGGCAAGCGAGAGATCGTCTGCTTCTGCTACGCTGCGATCGGTTTGGGAAAAGAGAAACGACGATAGTCGCAAAACTGCGGCACATGTCTCGTACATATCGTGGTTCTGTGCAAAATAGAAGAAAGAAAAAAAAGTCAGCGATGCGCGGTTTTGGGTAGAGTTTAGTGCGCACCAATGCTGTCATATTGCTTCGTATCGCGATCGTCTGTCACCACCGTCGTCGACGTCCAGTGCGTACGCCGAATAAAGTTGTCTACAGAAATGCCTGCGTGTCCTTAAACGCCCAATTTTTTAAGAAAAATAAAATGCGCTGGACGTGTTTTCTCGGAAGCATTTGCAATAAAAGTTGATAATTATGTTTCGATCATTAAGTTAGCAGACGACCGTCTGAGTTTGCTGCACGCAGACATGGATGTCGCCGGTCCATCACGGATGCCTCCCAAGGTAAAGAAATCAAATTGGTCCGAAGATAATAAGCTTCAATTGGTTTACGAAATCGAGAAACGAAAACGTATAATTAAGAACAAATTTAACAACAGTATTACAAAAGCTGCTAAAAGAAAAGCGTGGCAGGAGATCGCATCCGTGATGAATTCGCGGCATCCATCGACGCTGCGCACTGTGCCGCAACTCAAAAAGCAGTGGCAAAACCTCAAATCTTGCAGCCGCGCTGAACTGACCCTCTCGAAGAGAGCACACTCCACGACCGGTGGAGTGTGCTCTATACTATACATGTTTTTACTACATATAAAAATGAAGCACACATTCTGTGTGCTAAAGAAGTTCTTTTTCCACTTTCTCATTTTCTTGGCTAAATTATAGAAGCAATTATCAAGCTATTAATACAATCAAATCAAAACAATGAATGTGCTTGCTGCAATCAGACAAAATTTAATGCTCAAACTAAATATAAAGAGAACCTTGTCTTCCACAGACGCAGGGCGCAACGACCACACGCTGACACCGCTGGCTGAGGCTGTGCTGGCGGTCATCGGTTCCACAAGCCCCAACCTTCTGGGTATCGAAGGAGGCATAGACACCGACGAGTGAGCTGTCATGTTACTGCTATTTGTACGAAGTATAGCCTTTCGAGATTCACATGATTGGGGGTTCCACTAGCAAAGCTAATATTGTATTCATAGTCATATCTGAAGTTCGCAAGTACTAAATACTGGGCCACTCAAAGAAATGTTCTGGTGTGTTCTCTCCAGAGCAAGAAAGAATCGTGCACATCCAAGAACTCTAAACCTTTGAGCCATGTTACTTGAATTTAAAGTCGAGCTAGGCATGTCAATGAAAGACCACTGCGCTCATCAATGATGATAATAAAAATAATATAAACAATAATAATAATAATAGTAATTATTGGACTAGGAGAGCCATGGCACTGCAGAAAGGCAGCAGCCCGTGCAAGGTACGCCCGCAATGCCACATCTTGTGATGGTGATTATGTGATGATGTAAGATCACGACCTAATCTTGTGACATGCAAGATTAAAATGATGGTGATTATGAGCCGACATGTACATGGGGAGGACGACGCAGTCTTCTGAACATTGCAAGCGCCGTTGGCCGAGTCTTGAAAGTTTGGGAAAGAAAAATGACAGCAGACTTAGGCTGGTACACTGCTGAAATGGTAAAAGGTATATCTTAAAAAGGTATCATGCAATGCGAACAAGACAAAGGGGATTGTGTTTCTACTACACTACCATTACAAAATACATTATACTCTCATGATTTCAAACTCCAGGAAGCCATGAATTTTGTTTGATTTATCAGAAATTTATCTAAATAATGATGCAAGATAAAAATATGATTCGCCTTATGAGTGGCTTCACATACACAGAAGATATTTCATGCTTTCCTTTACATAGGCTTTCTGATCATAACCAGGTATGCTACACATGAAACATTCGTGAAATGTAAGACAAAAGTTTATTTATCCCTCAAAAATGTTCATTGTTGTGGGCTGTTCAAACAGCACATGACAACTCAAAACAAAATTCAGTTTGTTCATCGGGTCAAGAAGTTGTCTAGTGTGAACTATTAAACGGGGGACACGTGAACAATAAAAGCGGGCACTGCGCCACAGTTTTCATAGCAACTTGTGAGGACGTTGTGACTTGCCCATGCTATGCCACTTAAATGCAATGCCATTGTCCTGTAATTCATATTTTTTGTTCTTTCAGCCCTTTTCTTTAGTACACTTCTTTCCGAGCATCGGTGCACTGCAGAGGGAACACCCATGGATCTGTTGCTTCTCCGCAATGTGCCAGTGCTCGGTGTATGCCATGCTACCAGATCACAGCGTCTGCGCAAGTTGCTGTAGAAATTTCCGCATGAGCCCCGTTGAGTGCGCTTATCACCGAGCGCCGGTGCATTGCAAAGAAGCAACAGCTCCATGGGTGTTCCCTCAGCAGTGTACCGGTGCTCGGAAAGAAGCACACTCAACAAAAGGGCTGCAAGAACAAAAAACATGAATTACAGGAAAACAGCATTCGGTTTAAGTGCCATATGGATACACTAAGAACATAGCGAGACAACCAAACTTAGGAAATTTGTTTGAATTAACCAGAAGTATAATATCCGAGTTTGAATTATCGCAAGACTACCGTATACAGACTAGACTTTTATGAAGTCAAGCCGAACTAAGACAAACTGCAAAACAAATATATTGTTTTATGTTGAAAACTCTACTACTACGTAGACCCAAAGGTCACAAACAAAAAGCTTGGACCTCATTTGCTTCAGGTCCGTTGTATTGAGATGGCAAGTCAAATGAATGAAGGCACAAAGCTGTGACAGTCTGTTACATAAACATATTTGTGCGAGATTAGTGCTCTGAAATCTCGCTCATTTTGTAGGTAGCATTCACTGTCACAGCTGAGTTCGCTGCTGCTGAGCATATGCTGACGTCAAGCTTTTGCAACACTTCCAACATGCACATTGCATACCATGAGGAGTGTCCTTTCTGGAATAAAACCACCCTGAAAGGGTGAACAGTATTTATAAATAAAGGAAATCAGAAGTAATCCTCAGCAGTCAGTTCAAATATGGTGTACAGTGAGTACAATTTATTAAGCACCGACCAGTAGACACTACCACTAAATTTGGAATCACCCTGAGCACCTCTGCTGCTCAACATGGTAGTCTTTTTGACATAAAACAGAATTGTAGGGACAAGCAACCAGAAATATGTGGCCGGCATCAACACTGCACACTGGATCTGCATGAAGCCAGCTGCTTTCACAACTAATAGCCGCAACAGCCAAGATCGGGCATGACCTGCACACTGTAGGCTGGCTTTACTAAAGCCCACATACTTTCACAACTAATAGCAGCAATGACCGAGAGCTGAGGAGTCGAGCTTGATCCACATGCACACAAAAAGCAAGAATGAAATACAAATAAGAGTGTTCTCAAATTATGTACAAGGGTGACAAGACTAACATTCTTGTGTATTTTCCTTAGGGCCAGCACAGCACCAGTCAGCGTGCAGCCAACCACTAACGATGTGGTTGGAGAGGACCGAGTCCTCAGGTACGAAGTTGAAGTGGACCCCGGGGTCGCATTCCTCGAGGTGCCGGAATCCGAAGAAACCCTGGACTACGAGCCTCCGGACTGGCCGCTGGACGAGGATGAGGCACCCGTGGAGCCTGGTGCAGCAGCTGCGCTGCTACGTCGGGAGGGGCCTCCTCCTGTGGCAGGGGGACCGCCTGAGGCAGCAGCTGCTGCTGAAGGGCAACCGGCACCACTGGGCCGGCGGGGACCAGCTCGTTCACGACCGGTCTGGAGGCCCGGCGCACCACCCGCAGACTCGGCAGCCAGCACACGGGCTGCAGACAAACAGTTTTATAGGGACATCTTGGAGCAACAACACGAGAACGTAAAGTTAGAGCGGCAGTGCCTCCTTGCCAAACTGAAGGCGACGGAAAAGCAGGCAAGGGGATCGGAAGGGCAGGCAAGGGCAGCAAGGGCAGCCTGCGAGGCAGCCGAAATGATGAAAAAGGCAGCTAACTTCTATATTGAAAAGGGAGAAAAAATTTCACGTTACATGGGAAGGCCCTACAACAAGGCCCTTAAAGGGGAGGAGGGGCCTTCAGTTTGGCAAAGAGGCATTGCCGTTTTAGCTTTACTTTGTAAATACAATAAACAGTTTTTTTTTGTTAGTTCTCTTCAATGTCTTTTTGGTTCCAAGTATGCAAAAAAATTCCACTGCATTATGTATTTCATTTAGCAACATGCAAAACTAAAGAAATGATGGCATCATAAAAAAATACAACGACTTTTACAGACTCAGCTAAGTAAAAGTGAAAGTCATTAGTGTAATAAACACGCGTAAGGACCGCACCCACAAAAAAAAAATGTTTGCCTTGCGCACCATTGCATTTGTACAGGCCTGAGCGATGTCACCGCCGACGTGGCATGCAGTCAGCATCAAAGCTTTTTTTTCCTTTGCAATCCTTTAAATCATCTCCCTTCTTGTTGCCTTTTGTCGAAGTTGTTTAAGGCACATTCAGCCAAGACACCTAACTATTCATCTCCTTTTTTATGTTTGAGCAACCTTCATCTATGATCCACTGACGTCAAAGCCGAGTGGGAACGACAACGAAAGAAAGTACAAACTGCAGGTCCAAAATGGAAGCCCAGCGGCGCAAAGGCCCATACACACAGTTTCGTTTCAGTGCGTTTGACTGCACTATATCGAAAAGTAGCCACAACTCCTTGGGCTGCCTGTGGTTCATATAAAACAAAGCAACTAACTTGCTTATCAGACGGCAAACGAACGGGGGCCCCGCACCATGCTGGTGATTGACTTCCCACCACATGGAAGCACTTACCAAGGCATAGGATGCCACAAATTGCCCGGACATGCACTGATGTGCACCATATTTTCTACAAAAGTACCTGGTTTTTGGCATGTGAACTTGAAAAACTGTGCCAAACTTACGATGACGACATTCAACCAGCACGTACGGGATAATTCGGCGTTGGTAAAGTGTGCTACGAGCAGAAAGTTCCAATATGCCACCGACAAAGTTCTGATGCGAAAGGCTACTGTGTCGGAAGAACAAATTTAAATATGCGGTTGAAGGCGTAACTGGAATCCCGCAATTATTTGACCAGCGGCTCTAGACGCCACTCATAGTAAAGTTATGAGTTAGTGAAGTACTGGTAAACAATGCAAGGATCCATATGTCATGGACCACAAAGGCCGATGTCTCGGTGGCAGCGTTTCAGCGAGCATGCATTTGGGGGCCACTGCCGACTGATCATTGCCTTGCCGAGCTCGCGGCGAGGCATGCTTCCCGTACTCGGCGAGGAGGCCCCGAAGGTGCGCTCAAAACATGGAAACTACATCATGAAGATAAAGGCAAAGGGCATCGTTATCGTTATCACGAACAGGCAAGGCTGATGCAAAGAGTGTGTGAACATAAATGTTAAAAAGCGTTGTCAATGCACCGCCACGAAGAGTCCTGCCAACTGTGCAGCCGCAGCCCTCCTCTGCCACTCGGACTTTCTTTTCTTTGACGGTTACTCTGTTGCGGGGCGACTCAATGAAACTATCGCCGCGATACATAGCAAGTGCTACAGCTTAATCAGGCGCATTTTATCATAGCTCTCGCTGCAAATGGCCGTCGCCTCACCACCAGTATACAGTCGACTACAGACACGATGGTTGTAATCACATTCTGCTTGTACAGTGGCGTCGAAAAGAAATAGAGGGGCGGGGGGAGGGGAGACTGCCCCCCCCCCCCCCGACAGGTCAGAACTTTAATGGAAAAGATATGGGGGAGGGGGGCAAACTTGCCCTTCCCCCTCCCCCCCCCACCACTGTCGCCCCCCCCCCCCCCCCCAATCTGCTGAATGGTTCTCACGTCTCTGTGCTTGTAATCACCCATTTTTTCTGACAAAAACTTTTACTTCAGTGTCCTATTCGAAAGTTTCTGGCAATAGCCACAGTTTCAATAGATTGTTCATGGTGACTGTTGTGTGTAGAGTGGTGGCACCATCTGGGACACGAATCGCAATCCTAGAAGATTACGCCACACCGCAGAAAAAATGCGAAGCACGCAGCCAACGGCCAACGCCAGCCACTGAACCTATCATGCCTTCATTACGTAGCCTTTGTATCTTCTGTCAATAAATAGTTCATGTTATTCGGTCATCATCTACTGGCCAGGATCTATCATGTGGTGATGAGGATAAGATTGCATAGAGACTGCCGCACTCTACGGCCCCACATCGGAACGTACAGGTAAGGCACAAGGTTTGTGAACATCGCCCTTTGTTCGGGTACCCCCCTTGTACCCTCGACAAGAAATGGCGACCCTGGGACAGATAGGAGAATTCAACCCTGCGTTTCCGGAGAAGTGGGACGCCTACGAGGCAAGATTGAACTCCCACCTCGAAGCAAACGATATCACCAACCCAACCAGAAAATGTGCTGTTTTCTTTTTAGCGTTTGCAAAGCTGCCACTTTTGACTTAGTACAGTCACTACTCGCGTTGGCAACTCCCAAAACGAAGACCTTCAGCCAACCGTCGGAGATTGTACGCCAGAATGCCTTTACCGGCGGAATCAGGGTCCCGAGAAGTCTGTGACCTTATTCATTGTGGAACTACGGCGGTTGTCACAAAACTGCAACTTTCCAAATCTCACGGAAACACTGTGAGATCGACTCGTGTGTGACCTGAGGGATGAAACTCTTGAAGCTCGACTTTTCGCAAAAAGAAAACTCTCGTTCAAGATCGCTCAGGAAGAAGTGCTGGCAGCTGAAGCGGCGGCTCAAAACACCCACGATGTGAGGGGAGGAGAACCAGCTGTGGCAACCAACGTTGCCATACGTCAGGACTAAGAGGAAGGAGAGAACACGCTTAGGCAACCGACAAGGAAACAGTATACCACGGGAAAACAAAGCCTTGCAATGGGTGCAGAGGAGCTCACGCACGGGAGTATTGTCAATTTAAGGATGCCCAGAGTCACTTATGCAGAAAAATCAGCCGCATCGACTGTGTGTGTCGCATGAAACAATGAGCGCAGAGCGGGCCATGGGAACAAGAGGATCCAAAACCATGGCGAACGTTCTGAACTTGAACACACAATCTGATGATGTGTACGATACTAACCAACTGGCCCCGCCACAGGCATCGCAGACACGTAAGCACCGGACGTCGGCAATGATGGAAGTTGACTCGGGGTCAGAGTTATCGATCATCCCAGAACAAACAAATGAGGTCATGAAGAAGATGCTGTACCGGGTGAGCCATTTGAATCGCAAGTCAGATTTCCATTGCAATACGGTGCAGATCAAGGGGGTTATAAGGTCCATGTCAAGCACGGCAGTTTCAAAGGAGACCTGAAACTGCTAGTAGCACAGGGACAGTGGAAAACCCTCCTTGGCATGGACTGGTTTAAACCATTGGGAATCAGGCTGCTAGGGGTAAAAAAGGTCACAGGGCTGTCTATTGAAGGTGTGCTTGCAAAGTATGATGGCGTTTTTGGGTAAAAGATTGGGAAGTTTGAGGGACCCCCAGTATCGCTGCACCTTGACCTTACAATGATGCCAATCCGCATGAAACCCTGGCAAATGCACTTTGCGCTCACGCTTAAAATTGACGCTGAACTTGATTGCCTTATTGAACAAGGCATTTTGGAGCCGGTCACGCAACCAAAGTGGGAGACCCCGATTGTGACGCCCATGAAGGCAACTGGAGACATCAGAATATGCGGCGCCTACAAGTGCACTTTCATCAAGGCACTGGCTCAACACCCGTACCCGATCCCCATGGTACAGCACCTCCTGGCATCACTCTCGGGGGGGAGGCTGTTTGCAAAACTGGATTTGGCAGAAGCTTACCAGCAGCTGGTGGTTGATGAAGAAGCGGCGGAGGCACAAACGATCACAACCCATCGAGGAGCATTTCGAGTAAAGCGGCTACGGTTTGGAGTAAATGTTGCTCTTGGGATCTTTCAGAGCTTCATGGACGACCTCCTGAAGGGGATCACCGGGGTTGTGACATAATTCGATAATGTTCTAATTGCTGCAAGCACCAAAGAAGAGTTGGCAGGCCACCTTGAGGAAGTCCTGCACCGTCTTGCTGATGCTGGACTCAGGGTAAAAAGTGAAAAGTGCCATTTTGAAGTGTCGCAGTTCGAGTTCCTGGGATTTCTTATTGACGAGACGGGTGTGCACCCAACAAAAGAAAAGGTGAAGGCGATTCATGAGGCACCAGTACCAACAAGCAAACAGGAGCTACAGGCTGCTACGAAAAAGGCAGCAGTGGCCGAGCCACTACGTCAGCTACTTGACAAAGAGGCACGGTGGGAGTGGACGCCTCTTCAGGAACAAGTTTTCAACGAACGCAAGCAGCTGCTGTCCTCAGCAAGTGTGCTGCACCATTATGATGAAACAAAGCCCTTTGTGCTCACTTGTGATGCCTCGCCATAAGACATACATTAAAGTTGAACTTGGCCGTCGACCGGAAGATGACAAAGAGGTCCCCGTCGCATTTTACTCCCGCACATTGACATCTACCAAGGCAAACTATGCTCAAATCAACAAAGAAGCCTTTGCAGTGCTGGCAAGCGTAAAGAAGTTCCATGACTATGCGTATCGCCTTCGAGATCATAACACCACAAACCACCTTTGGGACTGTTCACACCAGCAAAGCAAATGCCATACATCTTGTCTCCACGAATGTTGCGTTAGACAATCCTACAGAATGCTTATAACTACAGTTTGGATCATTGACCTCGGAAAGACATACAACATGCCGATGCATTTAGTCGCCTCTCACTTACCATTCCAGAGTTTGTGGTGCCACCTCCTCTAGAAGTTTTGTTTCTGGAGAACACATCCAATCCACCGCTCCACGCCAAGGACGTCGCACAAATGACAGCAGAGAACGCCGTTTGAAGGGTTCTCAACTGGGCTCTGAAGGGTTAGCTGCCAGGCGGCCTTGAGGCAAATTTCCAGCCATTCAAGATTCGACAACATGAGCTGCCGGTTCACAAAGGATGTATACTTTGGGGGAACAGGGTCGTAATTCCCCCAGAAGGCAGGAAGGTGTTGCTGGAGGCCCTCTATGTCGGACATCCTGGCATCGTCCAAATGAAGGCTCTGGCTCGCAGCTATGTGTGGTGGCCCAAGGTGGACAGAAGCATAGAAGAGCATGTGATCAAGCGCATGGCATGCCAAGAATAACGACCTGCACCTCCTCGTGCCTCAGTAGACGCATGGAATGCAACTCCAGCACCGTGGTCTCGGATGACGGGGCTCAGTTCACCTCCGAAGAATTCCGCACATTCTTGAAAGCCGGTCTCACCAGACACATAACGTCAGCACCCATCCACCCGTCAACTAACGGACAAGCAGAGCGCATGGTGCACACAACGAAAGATTCGCTACAGCGTATTGTAAAAAGGAACACGAGGGCAGCATCTGGCCAGTTTTCTGCTACAGCAGCATGTAACACCATGCATGATGACAGGCAAGAGCCCAGTGGATATGCTGATGAACAGGAGGTTGAAGACGATACTTGACCGACTGCACCCAGACCTGACTGAGAGCATGAGGAAGGGAGCTTATGAGAATTCCAGCGAAGGAGCCCAACCGAAGTCCCGAATGTTTCCACCAGAAGACCCAGTATTCATATGCAGCTACAGCAGTGGCCCTTCATGGATACTGGCGACAGTGGTTGAAATGACGGGTCCAGTTTCCTACAAAACCCGCACCCAGGAGGGCATTATCATGCGACGTTCTGTCGACGAAGTGTGTAGGAGCGGTTCATTGAGAGTTGCAACAGACAGCATCAGCCACGGAGAGCGGCAAGCTGCTCGTCCTGAACCACCTGGGCACCCGGATACAGGCAGCGCAGTGCAAACGTCGGTGACGGGCCCAGTGCAAGATGTGGATGTGGCCAGACAGAAGAGATCAGACGGTGCTCGAGCTCTTCGAGAAAGAGTTCACTTAGGGGGAAGGAGTGTTGTGTATTGAGTGGTGGTACCATCTGGAAACAGATGCCAAACCTAGAAGACCATGCCACACCGCGCGAACATTGCAAAGCATGCAGTCAACGGCCTACACCAGCCAAAAAACCTGTCACGTCGTCATGTAGCCTTTGTATCTTGAGTTAATAAATAGTTAATGTTATCTTGTCGTCATCTACTGGCCAGGATCTAACAGTGACTATACTTGAAGTGTACTGAAAAAAGTTTGTTAGTTACGGCCTCGTTATTTCAAGCACAATATTATCAGACCGTTTAAAAAAGTTGGCCCCGAAATATTCGTAGACAGCATGATTAGTACTTGTACCTAACTAATTCAAAAACAACCCTTACTTTTTTTCCAGTTCTTTGTGCACCTGGTTGTATGCGCACTCCGCTGGCGTGTCTACCCAGCGGTAGGGCACGATCAATCACGGCCATCGTAGCCGATCGCCATCCGCGATGACGAGCCCGTTTGAAGTTCCCCCTCCGAAGTTGTCTCTGAAACAGCTCTGCGATAGCATGTGGAGGTCATGGGTGCTTCCTTGCCACTTGGCGACCACCTCACGATCAGTGAGCTTATGCCGACCACCAAGAGGACTACCTACTTGTCCGGCGTTGGTTCCGAGGAGCTCCGCTGCTGGTGACCACCTGAAGTGGAGAAATATGTCTGAGATTTGTTCACGACAGACAATAAAAATTCTAGCGCAGTTTCGATTCAAATATATATAGCCACGCCATAACAATTCCTAGTGAAGGTTCATAAACACTGCTACAACGTATCAAGCTACTTGCTATCTTCCAAAATGTTTTAAAACATGACGTCCGTCGGGAGTTGACGCTGACATTTCGAGAAACTGTTTGCTTTTCCGACTGTTTTTAAACACGAAACACATCATTTTACAAAGAAAGGATTGCCTCAGAACTGTACCTCGGCAAACTCCGTTTTCCTCGGGTTGAAAATCGTCTGAACAATAAGACTACGTAGTACGTCTTGCTTTCCGTTCATTCTTGAATGGACGGCGCTGCATTTGTGTCAGGAACCGAACCGCAAAAATAAGTTATAATTATGCCAAACTTATTCACATTTGCCTTTACGAAACAGCACAACTAAACAGTGGTGTTATTGATATTATTTCTTACCTGAGCACTTGCACCAGGACGTGGGTGACCAGTCAAGCTCACAGGAAAACAAGCGATTGCGAAACCACCAAACCGAAAACGAAACAGTCGTGGCAGGCTTTTCTGTCGAAGACGTCGATGGCGTAGAAGCAGTCTAAACTCGCTTTAACGAAAGCATTCACCCGGTAAAAATGACTTGTAGCCGGTGCGTAGTGGCTGGTGGTAGCCACGTCCGACATTTTGTTTTCTCGTGTGGTCTCATCTTGGGTCTCAGCTGAGACCCAGCGTAAGACGCCGGTTGAGCCGCTTGCTCGAAACGAAATCGGAACCGTCTCAGCCAAGTCAGGACTTGAGTCCGGTACCTACAACGGAGTGAGCGGTGCCTCGACAGGGAATCTAGGGAAAACGAAGAATCCGGACGCGGGTGTGACACGGGGTCGTCTGCTTCTGCTACGCCGCGGTCGTTTTGGGCAGCGACAACGACGACAGTCTCATAACTGCGTCGTGTTTTTCGTGCAAACCGTGGTTACACGTGAAAAGCGACAGCAAGCCGCGGTTCTGGACGTATCTGTCACCGCCATCGTCGACGTTGAGAGCGTACGCCGAGTAAAGGTGTCCACAGAAATGTCCGTTCGTGCCGATGCATTTTCAAAGAAAAAGGAACAGCACTGTACGTCCCTTCAAAGGTAAAGGCGAATGTAATTTGGTGCAAAGATAAAAAGTATCAACTGGTGTACGAAATGCAGA